TTTTCTTGCGCAAGTTATCTTGTGTGATTTTAGTAGGAAGAAATGGTTTCATCTTTTTGTAAATCATTGATCTTGCCATTTTATCTTTGATTCTACCATCAGCAGTAAGTGCATCTACCTTGCTTTCGAATTCGAGGGAATAATTGTACCAGTCTAAGATTTCCTGCTGACCAGACTTTATTGCTGTATTAAATAGATAAGACAAGTGTTGGGCAGAACCCGAAATTATATTCTCTGATCCATTGCAAGAGAAATTAGTATCGATAGAGCTGATATTATCTTCAGTGGATATGGATGAACAGGTGCCAAAGGTACCACACAGCTCTTGTATTAGACCCTGTTCTATGATTTGATTTCTATCTAGTGATTCCTCCAGAATCAGCTCATCATTATTTTGCTTCGTGAGATCTGATTCAACTGAAGTCACATGACTCTGATCGTTCCCTGAGGGAACAGTTTTTTCGAACTCTTCCGAAATTTCTAAAATCATCTGATCATCTTTTTCAGAGATGCATGATGAGCTGGAAATCAACAGGTCCTGAGCAATTGATTCATGCTGAAGTTTTTCCCGCTTCCTCTGCCTGATCTCATCGCTAACCTTTATCTTATACTCCTCATCCAAGAAATCATCCGTCTCTTTATCCTCCAACGACTTAGTTTCTATACGAATAGGTTTGCATGCATTAGAATTAAATGTACTATCAGATGTATTTGATGGCTTTGCCATCTTTTCTAGTTTACCCAGGCGAACAACATTGTTGGGATTCTCGACAGAGCTGGCATTGGCCGATGATTGTTTGATTTCCTTGATATCATCATCCATTTTGGCAATAAGATTGGTCTTTTCTTTATCTCTCTGCTCTAGTCTCGTGAACCTAGCTTCATGTTCTTCTAAAGCGCACCTTAACTTTGCATTCTCAGCCTTGACCTCTATATTCTCATCATTAACCTTGATATATTTGGCCTTAACCTCAGCATTCTCAGCCTCAAGCTCAATGATACGTTACCTCAATGAATCAAGTTCAGATGACATGATAATATTTTAATGCTCAATAATGCTAGTATTCAAAATCAGAAAAATATGTAGGCCATTTTGGCTGATCGTGAACAATTGTTCACGCCGATCTCTTTTGCCAAGAAAAAAAAATCTCGAAGAAAAAATTAAGAGACGGACGCTGTGTATAGATCAGCAAATTCTTCTGAGCTGATGATCACTGCTCCGGACTAATCAGAGTACCTATAATCATCGGAGGAGTCATACTATTACTATAATCATCTTCATCATCTGATTCAGTCTCAGAACTTGATGATTCCATTTCAGTGTATTCCGAATCATAATACTCACTTAGATCAATATTTCTCATAACTTTATGGTGTTTGAAAAATTTGGTT